TGCAGAGTCTGCCGCCTTAATTGATCTTATCATTGGGTTTTCCAGATCTTGGTCTATTTCCTACGGTGTGTGAGATGCAGTAACACAATTTAGTCGGTATGAAGCACACATAAGAAACGCTCATTCACTGGAAAACTCCCCACCTAAGCTAGAACACCCACAGGGCACAGGAGGATGCAATTAAAGAAAGATAATTACTATTTTCGTGCTCTTTTGGGTATGAGGGAAAATTTTCGAATGTTTGATAGTCCATCTGACTTTTCAAGGGGAAAATTCGCAAAGGACTGACTTCTGTGAAAGAGTACGATTTTGAATATAATCACCTCTGTGGACAACAACCTTTGAGCAACAGGTACTCGATAAGATGACACATGGTGGAGTGTTACCATTAGCGATACGGAGAAAATTCATCATCGTGTATGGTTTAAACTAAGCGTGGAATGAAGCCACTGCCGAAAAGCGCCCTTTGGCAAATAGTGTTGATGGTAACGCTTATGCCACTGTTCAAATAAATATGTTACACAAAGGCTGGTTCAAGTTTTAGCTAGTACAATATTCGAGATATTGGAACATTGTGCTTGTGGAACCAATCACTTGTAAAGTTAATGAAAACCTTTTACCATTTCACAATCGGTTCTGCCCTTCTTGGAGTTCATCAGATGAGTGTATTTCCCGAGACCATCTCAGCTGCATGTCGGCTGAGTCTAATCTTAGCGCCAAATTAATATGCAAATGAGTGTTTCGTCAGCTGCATATAAGTTGGAAGCCAATTTGAACATGGGGCTCAAGGTAACTCAAGAGGCTACGACCAGTTGATGAATCCCAATAATGATGAATGTCGCAGTTGTTTGTCGAAGAGTCTTTTGCAAAATGTGATAGTTATGAAGAATAAGGCCGCTTTTGGAAGCGTGCCATCACAAAAGGTATTTTGAATCTTCTATGACTATATTTAAAGTGAAAATATTTGGAGTTTATTAAGGAAACTGCTTTAGTACGCACAGGAGCTGTAGGGCTTTGTTTTGAATTAAGAATCTACCGGCACGTAATTGACGCAACCCCGGCTGCAATTTCCCTGGGAAGGACGGTAAGACCGGAATTTTGGATGGTTTTCCTAATGTCCGAAAATTCATTCGTCCAAACGTACATGTGATATTTCAATGTACGACTGAATTCCTCGTATATCCCTAGGTGCTATAAAGTACTATGACGTTTGGTTTACAGTGCGCGTCTTTGCAAATTCAGCTGGGGCGGGCAGTGTTAATAGTCCTCTAGCTCAAAGTCTACTCGTTAAAAAGGTAGTTTGACAGAATAACCAGATAACGAACCAATGTTCTTTTGCTGGTGGTCCTGTTCTAAATGCGTGAACATAGTTTAATCTAAGCCTCCATCTGTACACGAAGGGGAACTTCTTGGGCAGCTATGAGTAGAAGGAGAAAAAAATTCCTTCAGGCGGATTTTGTCAAATAATTGCTCACCAAAGAATTTTAGCAGAATTCGGAGTTCCATTGTATTGTACAGGCTACAGTCTGGCTTCATTTCAGTTTCACAGACCAAATGGAGCCATTCTCATGTCACTTGACGTACTGGTACGACCTTTCGTACAGACGTCCCGATCATGGCAACATTTCATTTCACTTCACGCTGTTTGTCATTGCAAAGGTGTCTTCCTTAAAATAGTAACTATGGGTAAAATAAAAGCGTTCCACTCTTTTTTGTAGGATATTATTAGACCAAAAGGAACGAGGACATTGTTTTCCGGACAGACTCAGAATTAGCCTCAAGCGGTTGTCTCTATAGTCATTTTTGACATCGGCGGATATACTTGAGGTTTGGTGTTTAGTCAGTGCTGTCCATATTGTTGATCGAATTGATGATAGATTGACACAGTCAGGCACTGGTGTGCAAGTCGCGATCATACGTGTTTAGTCTGGACAATTTACATCTGTTCTGCAAATGAATCAGGTTTGTTGTAACTAATGTGGGAGATGGGATATAGAAGGATTCGAAAAATATCTCCTCAGACAACTGGAGGAATATAAAAACACTACGTACCTCTAACCGAATATTCAGGTGCATGAGATTCACCAAACAAAACCGAAGCTGAAAGATATTCGTAAAACAGAAAAATATATTGGTTAGGCATTCTCAAGTTCGATCAGCTTAGGTATTTCATGCGTTGTTCATAGTGGGCTACACAGTGTAAATTTGTATAAGCAGTGGATACAGCTTAAAATCATATATTCCAGCGTTTATATTGCACGTCACTATGTCTCATGCACAATGTAAATTTGTAATTTTTAGACGAATCTATAGTACAGCGTCCGCCCAGCCACTGCTTGTTTTGTCAGTGAGCAAGGCGATAGTATATGACACTTCGGATTGATGGCCGTTAGCCTGATGGCGGATTTTTATTCAGCCAGGTTATTGTTTCATCGGAACTAGATGGTTTAACTTTTCTTAACATTCTGTGCCCTTGAACTAGGTTTGATCGGGTCTACTGAGCAACAAGGATACATCGTTTAAATTGGTAAAAAGAGTGAGTTGATTATGGAGAATTCTGTCTCATCATCAACTAGGTAATTGGGCGTAATTTGGCAGAAGGGAGTTCACTGGATTTTGACCAGAACAAACTCTGTTGGTGACCTTTTCTTAAATATGACGACTGGCCGTAGAAAAAAAATACAAGATTCAATGGTGAAGTTGACAGACTGCTACAAGCGGTCACTGAAAGAACTACATATATAAGGGGCATTTGACAAGCCTTCTACGAAAGGCTCCTATCTATTGTAACCTATTGATCTTACCCGTTGTCCACGGAAATAAAAGGGAGGGTGTTTTCTGCCTGCATACATAGATGTCCACAGAAAATGGTTGAAAATATAAAAAAGGCTTAGTGGAATACGAATTTGGTTTTGGTGGAAGACTCATCTAAAACTCAGCTCCATCTATCAATTATGATATTTATGGGTAGTTGAAAAGTTTTCAGCGGCCCTGTGAGTAATTTCCTCTGCAAAAATATACTGCGATGTTTCGGAAACCGTACAACTGAAACAGTGGACGGTCTTCGTGCAGCACATTCATTTGAAGAATAACCTAAACCAGAGATTCATTCGAGGCTCCCGTAAAAACCAAATCGATATACAAATAAGTGCTTTTGTCAAAACCTGCCCTATTTGGATTCAATTAGAACATAAGGTTAAAGGAGGCTTTGGAACCGCGCGTACCAGATGAGTCCCAAGAAAGGCGAAACGGGTCGTGGGCTGTTGAGGAGTTTCCAGCAACCTTATAAGTATTGCGCTGAGACAATCTTCGTTCGTCACTACCTGTTACATTGACTGACGTTTTAAACGGACTTGTAAATGTATGCATACATGAATGAGTAATTAACCCAAGACAAATATTCTCATCTCGGCAAGCGATTACTCGTGGGGTGTCCATGAGTCGGATCGAATCTGTTACACTGGTGGAGAAGTTTGTGGGACAGTTGGGCGTCCGATAAAAGGGCTCAATTGCTCTAATATTAAAGATGCGTTTTTTACATACCGAAACATAACAAAGGAGAAAATTAGTGCAATTAACCTACACTAAGGGCAATCACTGATGATGGTTCTGGAGATTATGTTCTATAAATTATTAGGAATATTAGCAGCGTCTGTTTGTAGACACTCTAGAGCAGATTTTAGCTGAGGAAAACTCTTAGCCACTAAGAGAAGTTCGGACTGTCTTCCAGCCAATTACCTGCTGAAACGTCATCCAGTTATTAGACCATGCCAAAATCACGTTTGCTAAGACGTTTGAGTGATCAAAACGTAAATAACCCACACGATGTGTGATGAATGGAGGTGATAGAAAGGCCTTCAAAGGCATGTCAGAATAATTTATTGTTAGGGGCTTACACAGTAGTAAATACTCATCGAGCAGTCATCACCCACTGATTCGAATGAAATGAAATGGGGATTGTTCTCGTAGCCCTTCAGTTTTTCACTTGTTGTACTCTAAGACTTTTCAAAAAATCGTATAAAAGGGACAGAAATTTCTTTTACATGACGTTTTCAAATAACAGAAGACATTTTCAGGTTCACTGACCTTATTCGTGGTTATAATTTTGGGTTTTTGCATACAGAACATTGCGATAACTTGTGTGCTCATATATTTACACTATAAGCGGTCATACCAACGATAATACTATTAACAACAGTAGAAAAGTTTGTGCTTTCTGACACAAGAGGATCTTGATTGCTTGCCCGAATGGTGCGAAAACATTGTTTCATCGGAAACTCTAACAACATCCCGACTGAGTCTCTGGTTTATGATATTCTTTAGCTGGGTATGCTGCACCACAGCCATCTCATGTTTTAGTTAGGACGATATTCGAAATAGCGTAGTACATTTTCTTGATAGACCGCTACTCACAAGGTTCCCGGGCACTCTTTAGCTGCCCACATAATATTTTGTCTTTCTTCCGTCCCATCATGTGAGCGCAGTTACCGTGTTTCTATCAAACTTATGTTCTGCTTGAATTCACTTTGTGTAGTCATGATTAAAGATTGTTTAATTGGGATATGTCGGTCTCAAAAGAGACAAAACAATCCTTGATCACCACCTTGTCACCCGAATCGTTCAATTCCTTGTGGACGCGCATACTGATTCCCTGCTTTTTTGTTATTGAAAATCATGTTATTCAACAGGATTGGAAGGTACCTCAGATATCCTTTATGAAGTTCTCTGGAATTTTTGAAATAAAAACGAGGAAGCCACCGAAAAAAGCTATTGGTAGGCCATCCCTCTACTTTTGAATCAAGCTCAGTCTGTAATATTCTTATTCGATAGGCTTTCAGAGGTCTTGTCTCCAGTTACAACAAATTTCAGTGGTCTAGCTCTCATTGCTAAGGTTACTGAAAACTGTTTGGCAGCCCACGACCGGTTTCGCCCTTCTTGGGTCTGATCAGGTAGGTAAAGTTGAAAAGTATCGCAAACCAGATGTATTTGCGGTTGAGTTTATGTTTCCTGATGCGATAGATATTTACAAAACGTTTTGTTTAATTTCTACAGGTGCATCAAACACACAATCATTCGTCCACATCTTCTGCCTGTATTCAACTTATCTGGATACTTTATTTTGCAACCTTACGTTTCTGCAAACATTCTTCTCAAGTCTGGACGCTTTCCTGCGTTTGAAGAACCCGGTATTCTACATCGCATCAGCTAAACGTCGTCCAGCACTCTGGCTTAAAGTTGGTTCACCTTGGTTGGTAGCCGGAATACAGGCGATCGGGCAGTTGGCACTCAGCGATCGACAGCAGGTCCGATTACACACGGTTTCAACCATGGATTTCGGCGGCTCTTCTATGGGATCTAGTTTACAATCTGTTTGCTTACTTCCGGATCCAAACTTCCTCATCATTCGTACGGCAATCGCTTATGCTTTACCACTAATCACTTGCCTGCTGTTAGTAGGACTGCAGCTGCGTAGTCTGCGTGGACTGAGAAATTACTCAGAAGATGCCATAAATGCGCTTCTTCAGGTTAGGCATTCCTATGGTCATCCGTATCCAGTTCGCTCTGTTGCGCGTCATACACGGGACAGAACACACGGCATTCCAATGGGTAGTCAGTTCAACACTTTTCACAAGATGAATGGGGGGACTGGGGTTTGTTTCATGTCATCGTTATATCGTTCACCAAGCGAGCACATTTCTCTGATCCCAGTTAAGCTACCTATCGACCAGTCAGATAAGCAACGGTTGCCAAAATCAATGTCGGGTTCCTGGAATATGGACACGCAACAGTCAGCACAGTCCACCAATTCGGATGAACTTAACCGATTGCTTCATGTGATTAGTCAGACGGATGCTAGTAAACTAGGGACACAAAACCAAGCTATACCTCAAGTACTTTTATCGTCACATGCGGTACCCCTCGTCGAAATACGGTCGGTCAGTCCAACAACACCATGTATCTCAACGATGGATGAAAATTCTATATTTCACTGTCCGACACATGGAATAATCAATGTTTCAAATGCACAGCAAGACGAAAAGAAAGATCACCCGACTGAGGGGACCATGGTCAAATACAACAAAACAGATGATCAAAAGCCCTGCGAAGCCTGCGAGCATGTGCAATCAGCAGCTGGTGAAACTAGAGCACCTTCGCTGCTGGACCACAAAGTATTGTTAGACCAATCCGTTGGATGCTCAGTAGCCACATCACTGGTTTCAAGTATTTCCATGAATAGTGTTGGACACACTATATCCACTGATCTACTTATCGCGCTGCCAAGTAAACAAACACCCTTGTCAGAAAATGCGGACACTATACATCTCAACCCAGATGAAAAGAGGCAGAATGCGGCCACCGTTATACCAAGATGGTTAACTGCTTACTATGGGGAGCAACTGGTTGTTGCAATCAATTTAGTCAGCTGCATTATCGCTGTCGGAACTTGGTCTCCTTACATTTTGGCAACTCTCGCTCATGGTCTTTGTCAGCCCATCCAGGTCTCACCACCCTTCATTCCTGCAACACCCGGCTTTCCAAAAGTGGACGCCAGTATACTGAACAAACATCATACGAAATTAATGGATAGATGCCTTATCCAAGTGGGGCCGGATCGCATTGCAGACTTTAAATGGTGGGCATACGCAAGCTCCGGTCTGTTGCTTCCGTGTCTGCTCTTCTTTCTTGACCTGGGACTCCGAGAAGGTTGCTGGAAAGCACTCTATTATGGTAGGACCACAAAGCAGAATGCAGCGAATCGTTCCAAAAAGACTAGCCCTATAACAACAAATACACCAGCTCAGGTTGAAACCTATCGCTGTTCGAACTTTAAAAACAATTCAACCGTGTTCGAAATTAATGAGGACAATACGAGTAACCCAAGCAGTGTGGTTAATCCGCCATGGAGTAAAAGGGAAACAGATAAATTTGAAACATGATACCATTCCGTAGTAGGTTTACATTGCAATTCAGCTGTGTTGTTGAATTACAAAGACGACTGTGATAGGTTTGATTTTGCATATGTTTATACGGGCAGGCCAATGTTTTCTGTTTGTCCTTTGCGTAAATGAAACTTATGAGTAAAAACACAATAAAACTGTACTACGAAAGGTCGGAAGTTGTTCTTATTTTCATTGTAAACTTGGTTGGTTGCAAGCACTTTGTTGTCAATTTCCCTACCCTGCATTCCAATTAATCAGATATTTAAATTCATAAATTTTCGGAATATTCCCTAGTCACAAAGGTATTTAAATTCACGCTCATAGCATTCTCATTCGAACAAACATCCCCATGTACTGGCGAAATCAGTCTTCTGAGACCTTACGCAAGAGAGGAAGTACTGGACTTTAGTAGAGCATATCCTCAGCCCTGGTATTTAAACTCCGGACTACCACTTTCTTAAGTGGTGAAATTAATGAGACTGACCGAGTCTCAAAGCTGCCTTGAGTAAGATAGGGTAGTGTGGACTAACTTCAGACTACATAGAATGTAAGAACTTATGCCCAATGAGCTGAAACAACTGGCATTCTATATACATTTTGACTACTTGTTCCAGAGACGTCGGAGGGGAACGTTCTGACTACTAATTTAAGTGCCAAAAAATTATTTGAATATGAGGTTACGACTGAAGCCAGATTAAAACACCAGACAACAACTGTCCTACAGCAAGTTCGTGAGTGACAACTAAAGATGTATAATACCGTATTTGTACCATCTATCGACAAGAGTACTTTAGCCACACTCCGCAAAGTTTGCCGACACATGTAGAAAATAAGCCGCTTTTAAGATTTTTCTGAGCATCGGTTATTATTATTATTATATTAAGATATTAAGGTGGGTTTCAGAAAAGGATCTCTAGGCAAAACTGAATCTTCTGCACTGTAAGTATACCTAATTCATTACAGACGTGTAGTGATACATTCACTTTTAGAGAATATCTTTAACTTCAATGAATTCACCCTGTGGTATCCCATTGCGAATGCCTTTAGCTCGTTTTGAAAGTGTCGCACAAGCAACGTTAATTTTGATGGATGAAATTTCAGCGCTAAATCATTGAGATCAGACTGGGTTGCGAATAAAAAGATTCAACCAGTCGTTGTTAGGCGATGATAATCCTAGGATCTAACGTGGCGCTGCTTCCGTATTTGTTGACTGCGCCTTCATTTTTATTATCATTTATTTTTGAAGAGCATGGTCACAAACATAAGAAGTGAATGCAAGCGATGAATGCGAAAGAGTAACAGGAGAATATGGGAGAAAAGAGAGAAACGTCTCATTCGAAATCATGCCAGGGACAGTGCCAGTCTGATGAGGTGAATCCCAAAGTATGTAAAGATTTTGGTATGGGAACAGGCGTCTAAAGACTAACAACCAAAGAAAGGACAAACAATGGTGAATGCTCTTCAAGGCGCAGTATGCGCTAGCACAGTCAAGACTCGCACATCAGGCACAAAGTGACCGTCATACTGGGTCTGGGGTGAGATTAAATGGCAAAAATGTACCTTCAACGCCATGTGCCACGCATAAAAGTGTCATAAGTACGCAGGGAGCCCACAATGGCAAGCAAACACAAGTCACTGACTGCGACCTTAGGAAGTCCCAGTCCAATAACAGCCTCAGCGGATTGAGGAAAGCAGATCCCTCGATAAGAGATGATCATCGGTTGATGAACCAAAAAGTCGATATCACAACCGATGGCATGTAGGGCTGAGATTATGGCGAGGGAATATTCATCAGCACCATACTTCTGCTTC